AGATAGATAGATAAGAGATAGAGATAGATAGAGAGATATATAGTTGTTGTACAGCATAGACTCAGAACTGACCCATAGCTGACCCTTCAGCGGGTTCTCAGAAGTAGTTAATCGCAAGGGCAGATATTATCTCCATCTTTCTTCTATTGAGCTGCTGGTGTACTCGAACCTCATGCCTTTGGGACTGTAGCACAGCTTCCTGCCACTAGGCCACCAGATAGATACACACACACACACACACACACACACACACACACACACACACACACACGAGAACCCTAGTGGCACCGTGGTTAAGCACTAGGATGTGAACCTAGAGGCAGCTGTTTGAATCCACCAGATGCTCCTAGGGAGAAAGTCGACTTCCATAAACATTACCAAACCCACCGCTATTGGGTATAATCTATAAATTCCTATAGTAGAATTTAGTCAATAGTTTTTCCGTGGCTGTAAATCTTTACACCATCAAATGGACACGTCTTTGTTCTGGTTAGAAACTTTGTTCTGGGTGTTTTAACTAGTACATCACCAGGACACCACATAGAGCCATATTCACGAATGATTTATATGACTAAAGTCACCAATGCCATGATCTTGTTTTCCTTTTTCAACATTCTACCATCAAGATTACTAAAGACTGATAAAAAAGGACAAAATGATGGACTTCATTGCAGCCATTTTTGACTCATAGTAAACCCGGAGCATCTTTGTGGCCCCAGACTCTCTCATCTTTCTGCCGGAGAGTGCCCAGCCTGGTGAATCCAACCACGGGCATTAGGGTTAGTAGGCAAATGCCTTAACCCCAGAGGCACCAGAGCACCTTCCATGAGAGTGACATCCTCAGAAGCTCTATGGAGCAGTCCTAGGCCGTCCTACAGGTTTGCGGTAAGACCCCACCGCACAGCCGTGGGTGTATATATGCATATATTTGACTTAAATAGTTCTGAAATGAAATCACCTGGAGCATAGTCATTCATCAGTAAAGGATAGCATAAATTTATGGTTTTATTTAGCTTTCACGCTGCTTTATCTCTGATTTCTGCATTGCATTTAAACAATTTACAAAAATTGCTGTGTGTGTTTAATGAGTCTTTTGTCCCAGGCTGTCCTAGGATGACATAATTTCTGGTTCTGTTGTCCTCTAGTTCACACACCGCAAGTGCTGTGAACAGAAACAAACCCCCTGTGCTGGCAGCGGCTTCTGAGAAACCCTTAACAAACCAGGAGTGTGTCATATTTCTTTTGAGTATCTTTCTTAAAGGAGAAAAGAATAAAGGTGTTTTGATGCTGACATTTCTATACGGATCCACGTCCATACTCCTGAGAAGCAGTAACACAGCCAGACAAAGATGAGCCTTGACGGCACAGGAGAAGACGGTGACTGCTGGCCAAATCTACAATGTCAGCATTGGACCAAGGTCTGGCCCCGCGTGTCTTCTACTGAGAGCGCACGGATTAGGCAAAGCTCCACCTTAGCACTTTATATTCTTGCTCATATTTGCAATATTCCAGGTTTCAAAGGTAAAATGACTCCTTTTCTAGTCACAGACTATCAGACTTCTTGTGTTTCTGTTTTATTACTGTGAAAAGGCAGTTCTTGTCAGTTGACATAAAAAAAAACCCACTAAAGGTTTCTAGTAATATGTCATTTACAAATGTTTTCAGTGATAAAATGTTCAAAGCATATGGAGAATAATATAACATGCACACCTGTATACTATACCATACCATACCATACCATGCCATGCCATGCCATGCCATGCCATGCCAAATTTAACTCATGTTGATTCTTGGCCTCATTGGTTTCTTTGAGTAAATTCAGCATTCCATGCACAGTTGAAGTCTGATGGGCACTTCTTCCTCATCTACGTTCATGTTCTTGACATTCACTTCACATAGACTTTCACAAACAGTGCAGGACTTTAAAATTCGATAAGGTTTACTCTATGTATCATTTACAACTTGTTTTTTAACTCCCTATTTTATGAGTTTGAAAAGCATTCATGTCAGCACTTGTATTGTTGTGGTTATCTGCCATCGAGTGGGAACCACCGACCCCTAGCTGATACTCCAGAGGCAGGGAATCACACAAGAGGAAACTGCTGGTATTTTATCCTTAGAGGAGCTGATAAAAACTTTAGTACTTACAAAGAAGTGGCCCTCGAAGTGACCCTGTCCTCGTGATTTCTCCACCATGTTCTAGCCCCTTGTTACCAGTCACTGCCATCAATCCATCTGTTTGGGGGTCTTCACCTCTTTCACAGACCTTCTACGTCCCCAGTGATTTATTTTTTCCAAGGACTGGCCCCCTTCTGTCCCCACAAGACCCTGATTTGTTCTCTTTAGCACGGAGGAAGTAGGTAGAGCCTACAATCTTTACCATCATCTAAAGTGCTGGTGACAAACTTTATAAAAATAGAGAAAGGGAGTTATTTGCAAAGTAAACAGATAAATGTTTCCTGGTTTCTTACTAAGATTGAGGCTGGAGGAAACCACAAAACATTAAAAAAATGCTTGCTGTGGGACAGATGTAATACCTGATACTCTGTACAATTATCTTAGTCTTTACTAAAATTGTATGAAATAGATACTATATGTTAAATGAGGGTCTATTGATCATGTTGCTAGTGTAGAGGACTGAACCATCCCAGATATAAATTCCTGGAGAGCCTTTAAGTAACTGCTCAATTTCTATTCATAGTGCCTAGTAAGGAGCTCTTGTAGCCTAGTGGTGAGAAACTGTGCTATAACCCCAAAGGCACGCTGTTCAAATCCACCAGCCGCTCCATGGGAGAAGGATGGACAATCTCCTCCAATGTGATTTACTGCCTCTGAAAACCCACTGGAGAGTCACCTGTTCATCTGTTTCTACTTGAGGGCAAACAACAACAGTATATAGTTGGGGAGCTCTGGGGGCATAGTCCAGAGGCACTTGTGCTGCTAACTCAAAGGCTGCACCTCTTTGGTGGTTCAAATCCACCAGCTGCTCTAAGACAGAAAGATGGGCAGTCTTCCTGCAGTGAAACTTACAGCCTCCAAACACTCCCTGGACAGTCAAATCTAAGTCTATTCTGACTCCACAGCAATGAAGCTTTTTGAGGTACAAAGCTAATTGGACTGTTATTTGTTACTAAATTTTTCTCCTCTGAATTCATCCTATTACTACTCATGTATCTTGACTTCAACACAAAGTAATCTCTCTCCTAGTGTCAATACTCTTTATCATTGACTCCTCCAGTGGGTGGATTCCTCTGGTTTGGCTTTGTTTTGTTTTGGTCTTGAAGTTCTTTTATCTCTTGCTAACAAATTGTAATTTGATCAAAATTTTTTCCTACATAAGCTAATTCCCCTGTAACTGCCATTCTCCTGCTCCCAGCCCCCATGTAAACAATATCAATGATCATGCACTATCTTAATGACTTCAGCTAAGTGCACTGCGGGACTAGCCAATAAACATGTAAGCACCACGTCAAAGATTCCGCTTCTCCGTATAGTTGGTGTCTGTCTCTCTCCAACCCCACAGAACCTCTCTGCAGAATCAAAGCTGCTTTTCAAATGAGCAATTCCCAACAGCAGCAGTTGTTGCTGTCAGGTACCATCAAGTAAATGACGACTCAGAGTCACCCTAAGAACGACAGATCTGAAACATGCCCTTCCCTCCTCATCCTCACTGTTTCTGATATGCTCAAGCCGACAGCTACAATCACTGTATCAGTCCATCTCATTAGAAATCGTCCCCTCTAGCTCTGGCGCCATACTTTTCCCCCAAATGATGTCTTTTTCTGAGCACTGGCCCCTCCTAACACGGCAAAAGTATGTAAGATGGGAAGCTCTGGTGGCCTAGTGGTAAAAAGCCGAACTGCAATCCCGAAGTCACGAGGTCTGAATCTACCAGCTGCTTCAAGGGAGAAGGATGGTTAAGCTCCTCCCATGTAATTTACTTCTTCTAAAAGCTTGTTGGAGGGTCAACTACGAGTCAATTCTGACTTGATGGCATACAACGACAATAAAAACATCCTCTCCTTTAAGGAACATTCTGGTTGTACTTCCTCTAAGACAGACTGGTTAGTTCCTTTGGCAGACCATGGGTTAGAGTATCCTGTAAACAAGGTAAACAAGGTAGCCTAGTGGTAAGAAGCTGCACTGCAATCCCAAAGGCATGTTGTTCAAATCCACCGGTTACTTCGTGGAAGAAAGAGGATGGGCAATCTCCTCCCGTGCAACTACCTGCCTCTGAAAACCTGCTGAAGGGTCAGCAACGAGTCTGTTCAGACCCAAAGGCAAACAACAATACACCTTGCTTCTTGGGCAACCTGCCCCTTGACAGGGCATGTGCCACCAAGGCAGAAAAAGAGAGCAAAACTCTTACTAGGAAATTTGGATAATTTCTCTCCCTTCTATCCAAAATCCTGCCTGTCTAATTATCTTAGGTAATGTGGCTAATTATATTTAAAAGTCACCCCTGTTCTCTTTTCAGTTATAGCTCTAACTGGAATTGAAATATAAATTAAACTTTAAAATACAGGGTGGGTTGTGCGTGTGTGTGTCTCTCTCTCATGACACACTGACTGATATTTAGGAAGTAATTTGGCTGATGGATTGGTCCATATGTGGTTATGTTCTTTGCTTTGCACAGTTTGAGAGAATCTTAACCAATTTCGGGTTTCACTCAATGCAATTCAGTTTCTAAAGAGACCTGCAAAGCCATTAAGGAAGAAGAAAAAGATAGCATTCTAAATCTGTTTCCTACGAGGGGGAAAAATCCAACCCTGTTATTGTTTGACAGAGCCTGGGACGAGCTTGGCATGGTTCACCATCCACCCACCCCTACCGCTGTAGAGATTTCCCAAGACTCATATTCCTATTAATCCCAAAGCTTGAAATGCATCGAAATAGCTTCATCCCCGAAGATGGAGAATAAGAAGGAGCTGAACGTCAAACTCCAGGAAGAATAACTAGCATTTCTTGTGAGTTTCTACACAACATGAGTGATGGGGGGAGGGAGAAATAGGTGGCTGCGCTGCGCCAATTAGTGGGGAATTTTTACCTCCTCCCTTTCTTCCACCTCCACACCCAACCAGGGACCACACTGCACTCTCTCCACACTCCTCGCACACAGGGAGCTGGAAATAATCTTGGAGCATCCAGTGCTGCAGCCTCGCTGTGCCAAAGGCCTGGTCAAAACCCACTGCTGCATAAACAATATCGAGTCACCTGGGAAGTTTGCTGAAGGTGCAGCCTTCTGGCCTTGGCACCAGATGATGGGATTTTAAACCAGAACCTCAGGTGACTTGAAGGCAGCTGATACACAGACAACCTTTGGAACACTTGAGGAGAAAAAACACGCCACAAATGTTTTTGCTCGTCCTGTAGATGAGTGTGTCAGGATCACGTGGATAAGTTTCCTGTAACATGCTGGGTTATTTGCTGCAGGCTAGGCTATGCTGAGCAAAACCTCAGAAAATCTTAGAGGCTTTTTTCTTCCTTGTCTCAAGCTCACATATAATTTAAAACCAACGCTTACAAACACACTCAGGTGTTTCTCTTCATTCATGTAATTAGTTTAGAAAGATTCCTTGTGTTCACTTGGGATGCCTCCCCTTCAACTTCTTTCATTGAAATGCTTTTTTTAAAAAAAAAAAAATTCTCCCACTCAGGTCCATATTCTCTGACAGATCATTATTTAACTCTCTTGTTTTTCTCCTAAAAACAACAGCAACAGCAACAAACCACAAAAACATAAACTAAAAGCAAAACAAAACAAAAACGGCAAAACTCAGTGCTTTAGCTATAGTACCAACTCCCAATGACCTTTCAGAAAGTTGTGGTTGCTGTGTACCATCGAGTAGGAACTGACCCCTAGCTGACCCTCCAGTGGGTTTTCAGAGGCAGTAAATTACGTGGGAGGAGATTGTCCATATTCTCCTGTTGAGCAACTGGTGGACTCAACTAGCTGCCTTTGGGTTGGCAGTACAATGCTTTACCCACTAGGCCACCAAAGCAAGTTCTTACTCACTAGGCCACCTTCATAGCTGGCCCACCGGAAGGTTTTCTGAGGCTTTAAGTCACAGGGGGAGGAGATTGCTCATTTTTCTCCTGCAGGGACACTGATAGATTCAAACCACCAGGGAAGTTAGCAATGCAGCTCCCTACGAACTATGCCACCAGAGCGCACTTTTATCCTGGAAGGCCCTTTCATCCCTCTAAAGTTTTTATTTCTTTGAAATCTTAACTCTTCTTCCACCTGTATTGCTATTGTTATTGTTGTTGACTTGCTTGTTTTAGTTAGCACTGTAGGTCTCCCATTATCCATTACTAAGCTTTCATTTATTCTGATTTCTTGTCATAATGAATCAGATGAATGTATATGGAAGGGAAGAGGTTATCTGAAAGGGGTTGGAGTGGAGTCAACCCTCAAAGTCCTTCCTTCCTGCTAATCTCCTCTATGTCAATGCTTCAATTTTGTCCTCCACTCAAGTGGTGTGAAATACTGTTATATTGTCTAGAGAAAGCAACAAGGACCTGATAGAAAATGGAAATTTGGTCTTGGTTTGTCAACTCGTCGACTAGAGGACACTGCTCCCTACCTTTGTAGTGGTTTCTGTGCCTCCTGATCTACACAGAAGTCCTAGTGAACGAACAGGTGAACGAGATGGACTCTCCACCTGAAGAAAGTGCTCTGTGAATGTAAAGCCCTGATGCTAGGTTTACTACTCTTCCACCTCTTCAAACACTCCTAGCCCTCCTTTTCACTTTTGGTTTTCAATCACAGAAATAAAAAGAGAAAACAACAACAACAAACACCCAACAATACAGGAAGAACTGGAAACATGCAGGAAAAGTGCAGAATACTGAGAATTCATGAAAAAGCCTGGAAATAACCATAAAACAGCAAAGTTACACTAAGGAAACTGAGATTCGTGGCAGGCGGCATAGGCCACTGAAATGTGTTCTCTGATAGCAATTTAAGACATATCCTTTAACAACTCAGTACTTAACATACTGTTCCACCATGCATGGCCTCACCATAAGGACAAGATGCTTTATTATTAATATACATATTTATTCCCACTCCCAAAAAAGGTGACCCAGCAGAGTGTGGAAATCATTGAACAATATCACTTATATCACACAGTAGGTAAATCCTGCTGACGATTATAATAAATAAATAAATACATACATACATACATACATAC